TGTCAATGAGTTTGAGATAAAACATCAAAATGTTCCTTCACAGGATAAAAACTCAAAAAGATCTAAGTCATAAAAAAAAAAAGGTTTTTGGTAGTAGCAACACTACAAAACTGATGATGTAATGTAGATCGTTTTTTTACTTTGATTATTTATTAAGAATAACAAAACAACAACTATAATAAACTAGCCACATATTCCAACAGTACTGTGCATGAAATTTAATGTAAAGTGGATGATATAACAGTTCTTTGGTCCAAAATCTAATTTTATTTTAGGTAAGACAAAAAAAAAAAATCAACATCAGGCATTTTGGGATGATTTGGCCAGCAATCAAAAATATTTTTTTTTAAATCTATCTCTTATTTGACCATATTTCAAATAATACAACTGTGGTCAAGTAAATAAATAAAATGAGAGCAATAGAGATCAATATAGCATTCTTATATTACACAGGTACAAGTGCACACACATATGCTACAAAGACCCTCTTAACTCACACTATTCAAACTTATTGGTAAAAAAACTTCATTCACCAATGGTTGAAACTTTACAAAATAAAAAAAATACATTTCTTATCATGTGGAAGATATGATGGCAATAAAATATACACTTACTTACATAAAACATAGTTCAAACATTATGAAAAAACAGTGGTTAAAATGGGATACTGAGAGTGGTGGAGCTCCCTTTTGTGATCCACCTCGAGATTCCAATCAGAAGAATTAATAGCTTGAATCCTCAAGAGGTGGATCACCATCCCATCCGAAGTTAGCTACTACGGAAAAAATAAATTAACTACAACATCAGCCATCGGATGAATTGTTTTTGTTTATGTATTTCCTTCAACGTATATGAGATAAAGATTACTTCATTTCAAAATAGCTCTTAGTACAGTTCAAAATGTTACATATACAATTGTCAACACTTGCTTTAACAAAAGTAAAATAAAACTTAACATTATGTTCAATAAGTCGTGAAAATCTGAATGGTCTCAGCTATGAAAATCAGTTGAATGTTTGTGGATTAGAATTTAATCTATGAAGCAAACTAGTGACCACTGACTGGGTAAGACTTGATTTTGGTTGTTCAATGCAATTCTCCTTGGACTATTGAGATTGGTCTTGTACCTCCTTCACTGCTGGAACTGTCCAAACTTGACCAGTAGACAAAACCTTAATGTCTGGTGCCTGCTGTAGTTCAGCTACTTGCTCAGGAGTGGCACGCACAATGTGAATTTTTTTACGCTGAGTTAAAAAAGACAAAAAATCAATAACATAAAATCTGACTAGGTTTATAGGTCAGAACAGTAAATGTTAATTACAAATATTTTAGTTAATGCTTTTCATCCAATCATTCATGCCAGTTGTAAGCTTTCTCAAATAACTGTGGACCTACACAAGCACTCATATTGAACGTTTGTGCTAAATGATTCTGTTTTAAAAAAACTAATAAAGCATTCAGACTTAGTCTCACTATAATTAATTTTATGGTTTGTTTAAAAAACTCCAGTAAAAACTGTACTAAAACCTTAAATAGACAGTGCACTGTAACAGCTTATATTTTAAGATGTTTGTGGAAAAGGGCTAATATAAATGTGTTCACAACTGCCTAACCTGAGGGTTAAGACCTGAATGTGTCCCTGTAGCATGACTGTCTTCAACTCCTGCTCCTTCGCTTGTTTGAAAATTAAAATTTGTTGTACCCAGGTCTGTTTGGTAGCAGATTAATTCAAAGCCACTGCTTTCTGACATCTCTCCATCACTGGACATGACCTCCTTGACTACACCCCCAGAGAGAGGATATGTCACAAGATGAGTGGAGTTATCTTCAACCTCTATCATATCTAGAGGACAACCCTAGACGACAAAAATGAAGTCAATGACGGTAAATGAGACAATATTTTAGCTGTTAAAAGAATACAACTAGGCTCAGAACAATGAAGTATATAATAATCTGAGAGCTAATTACTGATAGCTTTTCCTGAAAAGTAAATCAACACACAAGTTTAAGACAATGCGCCTAATCTGACATTTTTGCACCAAATTTTATTTATAAAAATGTAAGCTACTGTTGTATATTTTTCTCATTCAAATTTTATGTTTTCTTTGATTCTTTTAAACAACTTTTGATTTTGTTTTATGGGTCATCAACCTTAGATCCAAGTGACAACCTAAATTTAACTATAGAATATCTCTTAACCAAAAGTCTGCTCTGATATTTGAATGATATATCAATGAATAGAGCCATCAAACGTTAATTATATTTAACTCTTTCAGGGCTGCAAGTGTCAAAAGCACCCTCCCTACCAGTGTTTTTATGTTCTCAAAGTGAAAATACTTGGCCAAATTGCATGAAACTTATGAAAAACTTTTAAATTGTATCTAGAGTTTGTAAGGAAAACTTAAAAATTTTAGCACTTATATAGTTTTTCCAGGTTGCAAATTAAATATTGTTGTGAAACAGTTTTGGCAAAAATTACAAATATTAGGTCATCAAGAAATTAATGTCACATTTTGGACACCTTCATTAACCACCCCTCAAAAACGTAGATCATGTATAATAGTTAAACGAACTGCCTAAACGTCACGTTAGTGTAGCCTATATGATGAGACACACATTCGGCATGTAATGCTGTTTGAATACAAGAAGGGAAACAACGCCTCTGTAGCCACAAGGAATATCAAAGAAGTTTATATAAATGTTTTGAACATTCTTAAGTGTCAACGATGGTTCAGCAAATTTCGTTCAGGTGACTTTAGCTTTAAAAACTGTGATGGCAGGGGCCCACATGTTGGAATTTATATTGATGCTCTGAAGACACTTGTTGAGTCTAACCCAAGGCAAAACATCCATGAAATGGCCCTGAAATTGCATGTGTTTCATGAAACAATATGTAAACATCTAAGGAATATGGGAAAACTCCATAATGAAAGTGTTTGGGTGCCTCACAAACTCTCCGATGATCATCATTTCCAACGTGTGAACGTTGCTTTGTCTCTTTTGGCGCATAATGCATGTGAACCATTTTTGGACAGAATTGTCACCGGTGATGAAAAATGGATTCTCTATGTAAATATTAAATGGCAAAAACAATGGCTCAGTCCTAGACAAAAACCATTTCCTACAACCTGGACTCCATCCACAGAAAGTGATACTTTGCATTTGGTGGGACATCAAAGGAGCAATTCATTTCAAACTCCTCAATCCACAGTGAACTGTCAATGCAAAGATCTATAGTCAGCAACTGGAATGTTTGAATCAAGCACTTCATCAGAAATGCCCTTCACTCATCAAACGGAAAAGTGTTCCTATTCTTCAGGACAATGCACATCCAATTGTGACATGTTTGATGCAACACAAAAATATAGAGTTGGGCTGGGAAGTTGGCATCATCAGATTACCATCTTTTTCGTTCACTGCTACACCATTTTAATGAGAAAATGTATGCAAATGTGGAAGGTGTTAAAGAGGACATTGACATGTTTTTTTGCTTCGAAGCCAAGTGATTTCTTTAATCAAGGCATTAACAACTTGACTGTAAGATGGAAAAGCATCATCGATAAGAATGGAGATTATTTCATCTAATAAATTTGTTGTTTTGATAGATAAGTTGTTTGGGTTTTTTTTCATCTAAAAAAAAGCTACACTAATTTCTTGACGGCCTAATAGTTTCTTTTGCCTTAAGCTTTCCTTTTTTTTTTGTTACCATCATTTTATAGAACCCAATTAGCTTTAACTCACTTGCTATTCATTAATAAATTTATTTTGATACTTTGTCTTTCTGGTTGAAGACAAGACAAACAAAGAATTATCAATGAACCCTTTTTCAAAATGTTACTATTACTTCTACCTTTATGAGGTGTTGTAGCATAAAATTTTGACAACGTTTTTGGTTGAAACCAAGATATAGTAAATAGATATGTGTTTCCTATAAATAAGAATATTTTGTATTTGAATGTGTTATTTGATTACAATAGACTTAGCAATATATTCAATAAAAAAAAAGGATATGTGCCATCTAAATGATTTCTTGTCACAGGTAGACCCTATTGTACTTGCTTAACTTAAATATCTTTACTTTATGTCTAGTCAAAGAAGATTCCTGTAGTTTTCTAACGTATATCATATAACAAAAAAAAGCTATCATCAGAAACTATAAAAAAAACAAAAAAACCTGACTTCCAAAGGTTAGAGTTTATATGTTTCTGTTGAATTTAGCATAAAGCTACAAAAGGGCTAACTGAGAAAGCTCCTCATAATTTTGAAGTGATCAATTAGAGGGAAGACAGCTAGTCAAAATCACTCACTGACAACTAGTGACTACTGTTCTCAAGTTGGATAGTAGTAATTGACTGTCCCTCTCTATGGATTTGAAATGGGTAGCTCAATTTTTTAATGGGATACAAGCCATGGAACCTCAGACCCACAGTTTGGTATACTAACCAATGGAATCCATTTGGCTCTCTAAGTGTTAAAGAAGTATATATAATACTTTTAAGTTGCTTTGTTACTCTTGCTAGCAAAAACTTAAAATTTTTCAAATGTGACTAATTTCCACATCCCACTATTGTATTCTCAACTACAGAGCATTAAATATCATAGTTTTCTCTTTCTGATGAAGTTAATTAAGTCAGTAGACCTTTTCAAAGTTAAGAACCACTTAAAGTTTTTAAGAGCTCCACTAGTGATGCAATAAATTGGAGTTCAACCAATAAATTGCCAACCAAACAAGGGAAGCATAGAAATGTAAAGCTAACCAAAAATGTCATTGTGAGGAAAATATATGTTTATTTAGTAGCTACAAAAAAAAACTCTGGAAGTGTAATGTTTACAGCTTAAACATCTATAGATGCAACATAAATGAAAGTTTGAACATTTTATGAATTTTTAAACATGAAATAAACTAGACAAGTATTAAATATAGTCAAAATATCAATTCTACAAATCTGATAATTAATAAAATGTTAAAATACAGTTAGAGTTACAATTTTTACATTTTTAATTTAAGTTGTGGATTTGCACTTGGAGTATCCTGAATGATCTTTTTATTTTTTTAAGTAAGTTTAACTGTAGGAGAAACAGCAGTGGCAGTAGCTGTAACATGAAACTCAGAATCCATTTCAACAAAGAGTGGAAGTAGAAAAGTCCAAATAGGGAGCTCCAAAAATTTACATATTATAATAAATGACATACAATGCTAACGTGTACTAAAATTTCTGAAAAGAGGTGTAGCAAATGTAAAGAAAAACTCAGTTTTCATTAAAAGAAATAAGGAAGTGATTGAAAATTCCGTAAAAGAAAGTATGAGTGAAAAACATGTCTGAACACTGGAAGTGCCAATTGAGAAGTGAAGTGCCTCACATGAGGGTAGGTGGGAGTATCAAGGCTAGTGGCAAGCAAAAATTTGTGCATATAAAGGGCAGTACAAGTTGGGAAAAGCTATTCTGTTAAAGGAGGTAAGATGTATCAAAATACCAGTGTATGTAGTTATTACTAGATCAGTTACATATAAGATAGCCATGTCTAGATACCAATCCACATTGATTTACAACATACTGCTGGGTCTGTGTAATTGTCGTTATTTATGAATAAAATACCACTAGGTTTTAGATTACAGCCTCATTTGTGTATACAGTACACTGGTTATAAGTGATTGTCCTCAAGTATTTACAGGGTACTACTGCTAATATATTTATGTAGAGTATATTTCTCATTATTGATATTAATAAATTAAGCTGTTTGGATATAAACTCACTTTTCTTGTTAGCGGTAATCCCTTTTGTTTACGTCTGAACGCAGTTCGACACTTGGAGTCTAAATTCTGTTTGATTCGCATCCAGTCTACTGGTGTGATTCCAAATTTGTATATGAGGTGACCTGTTTACATTCACAATATTTATATTCAAACTTAACTTTTTTGACTCTATAATGATTTAGTTTTTACCTGTATATTACAGTACAAACAGAATTATAACAGAATGTTCATAACATTTGTATGACATTACAGAAACATATATTTAAAATATATAATTATACCAGTACAAAAACAAAAGAAGACTATATTCTTTTTTCTTAAATGTGATCTATTCCTTAAAATAATAAGATGGCTGAATTAATCCTAGGATTTCTTATGTTTGCAAACTGTAAAAGATCTATTTGTTAAGTATTTAGATTCTCAGTAAGTAATATCATTCCAAGTTTACTATTTAATATCTTAATTTATAACTTGTAATTTCTATGTTCAAGATGAGCTTTTACTAACATCGAATTCCATACACCATGAGAGGATCCAGTTGTCTCTTTCTGTGCTTTCCTGTTCCAGATATATTGGAACAGGCTTGTGTTTCTCGATCAAAAAGATAATCCAGAAGTGTGAGAGCCATTTTCTCTGGAGTTGTGCAGGTGTTGTTTATATGGAACAGCTCGCTGTGATTTGAACCAGAAAAATATAACAAGTATATTTAAAATAAAACACAAAGATATATCAAATGCTGCTCATTACACTGATATGGTCAAGAATATTCAACTTTGTTCATTAAGACTGTATACATTATTCACTATCCAAAATGCCAAGTCCTTTAAAACCTTGAAACACAATAAAAACAGATTGATAGGCATTGAAAAAAAAGCAAAAATAATTTACTACTCTTTTTTTACTTTTTCTACACTTAGAAAAATAATTATTATAATCTTAAATCAACAAAAAAGGCACAGGTCTTCCTATAGTCACGGGTCAAAGGCCAAGTCATCATGTTTGTTGACTCACATTCAAAATTTTATTGAACTACTA